GTTGCTTGGGTTCCCCACTTAGGGGAAAGGCAGGGTATACGGCAGGTTGGTGAAAGGCTGAGAAGGAGAGAATGAGGCAGGGAAAGGGGAGAGGATACGGGGGATGCCGAGAGGAGGAGAAGGGGAATTGTGTTGGGGGAGGGAGTGAGTTCCCCCCCAAGTCCTTGAGGACTCCCTACCATGCAGTTTGTCCTGGCCCAGCGGCCGGCATCACACTAACCTTTGACACATTTAATGAAGCCCAACTCATTAAAAAACCCACAAAGCACGTTACTATAACTATTTATCGTATGGCAGAGTCACACAGAGGAAGCATATCATAATATAAAATACATAATCAAGTTGATACAGTGGGTATGCAGACCAATGGGGCTCCCTGGTTTATCCAGGAGTTGCGGCTGTTGAAGCAAAGGCCCAGGCGACTAGAGAGACGGCGGCGGCGTACCCACGATGAAGCTACAAGAGCATCTTATAGGACGTTTATGAGATCCTATGAGATGGCAGTCAAAGCCGTGAAGAGAGAGTTCTACGCGGCTATGATTGCATTTGCAAGCTCACGCCCGGCAGAATCGTTTAGAAGTATTCGGTTGCTAACAGATCTGCCAAATGGCAGACCAAATGCTAAAGAACTGGATATTGGCTGTGAGGCGTTTGCGAGCTATTTCTCAGATAAAGTCTTGTCGCTCCGCCGTGATCTCCCCGCCACAGTTGAGGCAGTGAGTGAAGTCAAGGCCCCATGCACATCTTCTGCTCCTATTCTGGATTATTTCAGTCCACTCAGCCTGGAGGAAGTCGACAGACTGCTCTCACCGGTACGCCCAACCACATGCAACCTTGACCCGTGTCCTTCATGGCTTATTAAAGCTGGCCATGAAGGGTTTTGAGGTGCCCTTAGGGATATTATCAACAAGTCCCTCACTGAGGGACTGTTCCCTGGGGTGCTCAAGGAAGCGATGGTCCGCCCTCTCCTGAAAAACTCATCTTTGGACCCGGCCGGTCTCAAATTTGCCCTATTTTGGCAAAGTGCTGGAGAGAGTGGTGGCGATTCAGTTGCAGAGCTTTATGCATGATACTTCTGTGCTAAACCCTTTCCAGTCCAGCTTTTGTCCAGGCCATGGGACGGAGATGGCACTGGTCGCCCTCACAGATGACCTCCAGAGGCATCTGGATCGGGGCGGCACAGCGGTAGTGTTGCTGTTGGACCTGCCAGCGGCATTCAGCATGGTCGACCATCAGTGACTGATCCACCGCCTTGCCGACACGGGGATTTAGGGGCTTGCCTTGCAAAAGCTTGTCTCTTTTCTCCAAGGAGGGTGGCACTAGAGGATCAGACATCCCAGAGGCACCCGCTGACTTGCGGGATCCCGCAAGGGGTGGTGCTATCCCCCATATTATTCAACATCTACATGCGCCCCCTTGCCCAGTTTGCCCAGAGGCACAGGCTAGGGGGTCACCAATACGCTGATGACACCCAGCTATATCTGGGTTTTTTTGTACATTATATTTATTGGGTTTTTAGACATATAAGCCTGTATCATATACACAAAACAAGAACATCAACAATACTACATACAAACCCCCCCCTAAGTTAACAATTTTCCATTTCAACAACACAGATTAATAGAAAAACTGGACAAGAAATAATTATTTTGTTCTAATATTCCACTTTTAGTTCAGTTCTGTGTTGAGTAACTACTCCCATCTCGATTTCCTATGAAATTTAAATACTACAGTCTCAAGATTTGGCTGTCAGCTCATATTAGTAATATACGATAATCATATACACTGTTTATAGTCATCTTCCAGTAGTCTATCCATTTTTTGCTCTTAGTATAGGTACAGCGTTTAATAGTACTATTTTTAAAATTTTTAAAGTTTTATCAAAATTGATTAGAACTTAATTACACCATCATGACACAATACACCAACCAAACAATCAAACATTTATTCATCCCAATTCTAACCTCTCCTATTATATTAACAATTGCTCCACTAATCTATCATTTCATTGCTTTTAATTTTTGGATCCAAATTATCACTCAAAGTCACATTAGACTATTACTATAATCATTTGCCATTTAACTATAGTATTCCAACCTGATTAAACATAATTAAACACCTTTAAGATAATTAAGCATCCCTATTATTACCAGCTTTTATCTTTTAAATACACATATTAACACTTTCTTATCCTCCACTAATTTGCAGCAAGAAGGGAAGATATATTTTATTTTTTCTAGCAATTTCTTAAGACCATAATACTAATCCTTAACTTAGAAGTTCAAATTATCACTCAAAATCATGTTAAATTATTATTAAAATAAATTACAACTTAACCATAATATTTTAACATAAATAAACATTATTAAACACCTTTAGACAATTTAGCATCCCTATTATTACACCTTTTAACTTAAATTACACATAGTAACGCTTTCTTAATCACCACTATTGTACAGCAAAAAAAGTTTTTAAGGTCATTTTTTTCCAGCTAGGCCTATATCAGAAAAGAACAAATCATTCCACCTCCTTATATAATTTATTTTTCCTCCTACACTTCTGTAATCTATTTTTCTGACACAGCATTTCTACATGCCTTCTTCCTTTATGTGTTTACTGGTTTCCTAGTCTCCCCCCTCTGGCTCCCACATTTTATTATCCCTTTTAAATTTCCAAGCCCGTGATTTTTTTCTTTTTGTTCTCCTACACAACATTTCTACATGTCTTTTTCCTTTATGTGTGTACTGATTTCATAATCTCCCCCCTCTAACTCTCACAAACTCCAGTTCCCACATTTTGTTGTTTCTTTTAAATTTCCAAGCCCATGCTGTTTTTCTTTTCGTTCTCCTATTGCCTTCTTTTTCATTTTTCAGTCGTCCATTTTCTTTTAACAGTTCTAACTTTACACCAGATGATTCCCCCCCCCTTCTTTCCCACTGTTTTGGTTAAGGGGTATTGAATTACTACACAGTCTTTCTCCTGTAGCACTCCCGGATTTTCTGCCACACACTAACCACCTTTCACCTTTTGCTGATCATCTAAGGTTTCTGTTAACCGGGGTTGCTCATGCGCTTTCTTTTTCTGTTTCTACTTGGATGGGATATGTTTTCATTAAGTTTGCACATGTTTCCTCACATCCTTTTTGAATCCCCTTTCAGAACTCTAATGAACTGTTCAATCGTCATCTCGCCCACCTCCATGTTTTCATCCATTTTATTCAACATCTTAAATTCCTTCAAATTCAAAAGTCAGCATTCTAAATATCCAACAAGCTTTCAACCATCCATTGTCCTTTATAAATCCTTTCCAATAAACAGAGAGGGAGAAAAATACGCCAACTATCACCCGTCTTTTCCCCGAATAAAAAAAAGAAGACACTTAAAGACGTAAAGTCCTCTCCCGCATGCCTCCTGGCCGCTATCCTTCTCATTCTGTGCAGACTTGATCGGGGTAATTTTTATTTATTTATTTATTTCCTCTCCGCATACAACTCCGAAGCATGTGTACTCACAATTGTCTTCATTTTCTTTTCCTCCTGCGTTGCTGCAATTGATGTGAATCTTGAATAACAATAGGTTAAAAGGCGGATGGTCGGGGCTAGGTGGAAAACATGGAGACCATGATCCACTCCACTCTTCATCCCTGCTTCGGGGCAATATCGGACCCCCCCCCGCCATGCCAAAGCGGGGAGGGGCCAAAAAGAAGCCCCCTGCCCCCTGCCACCGGTTCTCCCTCCAAGAGAGCCGGTGAGGCCCCCCGATACCAGGAGGAACTCAAAAAAGATGAAAAGGAATCGGGCGGCTTGGGAGCAACTCGAGAATCTGCCCGTCGCCTGCGCCATACCGCACATACTCCTCCCCACCCAGCTATATTTGTTGTTGGGCGGTCAGTCCGACTCTACCCCAGATGACCTGGATCAGGCGCTTCAGGACGTGGCAGGCTGGCTCAGACTGAGCTGGTTGAAATTGAATCCGACAAAAACGGAGGTCCTGTGCCCGAACTGGAGTGGGTCGGGGGTAGGGATCCCACTACTGACCTTCGATGGGGCTCCATTGGTCCCAGCGCTGAGGGTCAGGAGTTTGGGAGTGCTCCTGGATGCCGCCTTAACAATGGAGGCCCAGGTAGCAGCCACTGCCAAGGCAGCCTTTTACCATCTACGGCTGATCAGGCAGCTGGTTCCCTTCCTTGAATGCAATGACCTCGCAACGGTGATCCATGCTACGGTCCCCTCGAGATTAGACTATCGCAACGCTCTCTACACGGGGCTGCCCTTCTCCCAAATTCGGAAGCAGCAGCTAGTGCAAAATGCAGCTGCCAGGCTGCTCATGGGTATCTCTATATGAGAACACATTTGGCCTGTGCTGAAAGCATTGCACTGGCTGCCAATAGCATACCGGATTCACTTCAAGGTGCTGGTTTTCACCTTTAAAGACCTATATGGTCGGGAACCTGCCTACCTAAGAGACCGACTTTCCCCATATATCCCCCAGAGAGCACTGAGGTCAGGGCTGCAAAATCGCCTGACTCTTCCTGCTCCAAAACACGTCAGACCGGCCATCAGCAGAGCTAGGACCTTCTCAGTGGCAGCTCCACACTGGTGGAATGAGCTCAAGGAAGACATCAGGGCCCTGCGGGACATTTTACAGTTCTGCAGGGCCTGCAAAACGGAACTCTTCCACCAGGCTTTGACTAGGAGCTGCCACTGATGAATGAGCACTAAGAACAATTATGGATGCTGGTCTGGTTACACCGGATAGCTGTACAGCAATCACCATCTATATTGATTTGCACTTTACTTGTATGCTGTTTTGTGTGGAATTTGATGGTACTGCATCTCTGCACTGTGTTTTATTGCATTTTAACTTGTTGTACGCCACCTTGAGTCTGCCTGTGCAGGCAATGCGGGATAGAAATCGAAAATAATAAATAAATGAATCCCCTTAAATACAAACACAAAGTCTAATTTCCTTGATACAAACAATAATATTTTTAATGAGCCGTGACTCTTCCTTAGCCAAGTTTTGTTTTCCCTGATTCATAAAGAAACAATTAATCTAGGGATGCCAACTACCTGGAGAGAAAAAGTGTCCCTTTTAACAGAGGCTTCACGGGATGCTGTTTATCTTTTCAGATACCCGTTTCCACGCACATTAAGCCTCTGGGAACGAGGGAGAATATTTTCCAAAATAAAGTAAGGAGACAGAAAGAGAATTTTCCCAGTTGGTGCCATAACGGCCCAATCTCAATGGAGGAATTCAAGGAGGGGCTCTGAGAAGAAATATGTGGGGGGAGCACACCTTCGCCCATGGCTTAGTCCAGATAGATTCCAGCACATGCACAGGTGGTGGCGGTGGTAGCGTTCAGAGCAGGAAGAGGGAATCCTACTTCTCCCTCCTGATATTCTCTGTGAGAATCTAAAGGTGGGGTGGGAGGGACAACTTGGATTGGGGAATTTGTGCCCCACAAGGTTCACCTGGTAACTCCAGTTACATTGCTTCTCCTTCTGTGGGTACTTTGATGCACTTGAAGATTGCCATTCCGACTGAATCTCTTTCCACACTCTGAACACTCAAAAGGTTTCTCCCCTGTGTGGGTTCTTTGATGCAGGTGAAGACTGCTATTGTGACTGAATCTCTTTCCACACTCTGAGCATTCAAAAGGTTTCTCCCCTGTGTGGGTTCTTTGATGACATCGAAAACTGCTATTCTCACTAAATCTCTTTCCACACTCTGAGCATTCAAAAGGTTTCTCCCCTGTGTGGGTTCTTTGATGCTTCTGAAGACTGTCACTCCGACTGAATCTCTTTCCACACTCTGAGCATTCAAAAGATTTCTCCCCTGTGTGGGTTCTTTGGTGCTTCTGAAGAGTGCATCCCTGACTGAATCTCTTTCCACACTCTGAGCATTCAAAAGGTTTCTCCCCTGTGTGGGTTCTCTGATGCTGTAGAAGACTGCCACTCTGACTGAATCTCTTTCCACACTCTGAGCATTCAAAAGGTTTCTCCCCTGTGTGGGTTGTTTGATGTTGTTGAAGATGGCCACTCTGACTGAATCTCTTTCCACACTCTGAGCATTCAAAAGGTTTCTCCCCTGTGTGGGTAGTTCGATGTTGTTGAAGATGGCCACTGTAACTGAATCTCTTTCCACACTCTGAGCATTCAAAAGGTTTCTCCCCTGTGTGGATTCTTTGATGCTTCTGAAGAGTACTGCTCTCACTGAATCTCTTTCCACACTCTGAGCATTCAAAACGTTTCTCACCCTCTTCATTCTCCTGATAATCCTTTGCTGGAATTAAGAGAGAGATCCTGTTAGTACCTGGGAGGGCTGGTAAGGTACAAAGGCATCTACGTGACTGCAGTTGAAAAGGTTTGACGGCCCTTTGGCCTTCTCAACCTTGGCTGATCTTAACCACCCGTCCACGTTTTCCCAGAATATCTAGTATTTAAGGATACTTCACCCCCTCAAGTGCCAAAGCTGCGCTCTTGCCCAGAAGGAGCTTCTGAGCCTCCAGATTTCAGGGCCTTCCTCCCTCCCCAGTCGGCTGTATGATTGTACGAAATGTCGCTCAGATGTGAATCAGAAATCCCCCATGGCACTTTCTTGCCTTTTCCCGTCACATAACCGTGAAGGATACTCACTTTCAGCCAGCTTCTCATGAACCCACTGAACTGGGTGCTGCTCAGGTATAAAGAGTAGTGACCCAGGGAGATTGTGGCTTCCAGATCACAGGATGAGCAGACGTCTGGGATCCCATTCAGGGGGAAGGGTGTGTTGTAAAGGCTGGCAACAGAGAAATGAGGATCCGGCCCCTTCCAGAGTCCTTCTGAGGGCCTCCCATCCCTACCTTTGCCTCTGGCCAGGACACCTTCTCTGGCTTGGGTGATGGCCACAACACTGGCCTCTGTTGCCCCTGGGCAAGAACACACCCAGGAACACATGAAGATGCCTCCTACTGAATCTGACCCTTCGTCCATTGAAGTCTGTGTTGTCTACTCAGTCCAGCAGTGGCTCTCAGGCAGAAGTCTTTCACACCACCTCCTATCTGATACTTTTTACTGGAAATGCCGGGGATTGAACCTGGGACCTTCTATATGCCAAGCAGATGCTGTGCCTGGGAGACATAGCTCCCCATCCCCACTCCAAGTAGTGGGACAGGCCTCTAAACGGTGAATAGCTATTCAATATTTTGATTCATGCCTCCTCACAATGGCCGCAATTTGCACCTTTGGCACCAAGCAAAGATCCTTACCCAGAAAGGCCACATTCTCGTAGTTCTCCAGCATGACTTCCCTGTACAGAGCTCTTTGTCCCGGATCCAGCAGGGCCCATTCTGCCTCCGTGAAATCGATGGACACCTCCTCAAAGGAAAAGGGACCCTGAAAAAAAGCAGATTCCCTCTTCAGAGATCACGCCAGGCAGAGATGGCACCCCGGAAGGGAGTGGGCTAAGAAGGTAAAGGATTTAAGGCTCAAGATGGGTCAAGGGAACAGCGTTCAGAGGATCTCTCGCCCAGACACCTCACAGAAAGTGCAGGAGGAACTGCTCCCCATGAGAAAGGAAGAGGGACCGGGCTGCCCCCCCTCATCTCATAGTGGCAGAAAAATCAGCGATCCCAGGGCATTTCTGTATAACAGCCTGGATTAGCTGAGTCCTCTCTGTTTGGTTCCTCTCCCATAAGGCTAAGAAGCTAAATGCATTTTTTGCCTCTGTCTTCACTGTGGAAGATGAGAAGTGTTTGCCCACTCCAGAACTGCTGAGTTCGGGAGGGGTGCTGAAAGACCTGAGTCAGATTGAGGTGACGAGAGAGGAAGTCCTAAAACTGATAGACAACTTAAAAACTGATAAATCACCAGGCCCAGATGGCATACATCCAAGAGTTCTGAAAGAACTCAAATGTGAGCTTGTGGATCTCCTTACAAAAATATGTAATCTTTCCTTAAACTCTGCCTCCATTCCTGAGGACTGGAAGGTAGCTAATGTCACTCCCATCTTTAAAAAGGGTTCCAGAGGAGATCCGGGAAATTCCAGGCCAGTCAGTCTCACGTCCTCATCCCACCAAGTTTCTGAAATACACACAATGTCTATTTTTCCCTCCGACACCAAGCAGTCCAACTCCCCGATTTTACCTTGGACACTTCTAGCATTTGTATAGAAACAGCTGAAATTTCCCATACTAGTTAAGCCTGCAACCTTCCTCTTGCTATCTCGAGACCCCGTCAGGCAGTCCATGTCACCAGCCATGGTCTCAGTGGACAATTTCAATCCACCTCCCTGAAGAAAAGCAACAGGTACCCCCTCATCTCTCTGAGACGAGCCAACCCGAACCAGAGACTTTTCATCTCCTGTCGGCTTTTCCCCAACATTCAGTTTAAAAACTGCTCTGCCACATTTTTGATTTTAAGCGCCAGCAGCCTGGTTCCTTCTCGAGCCAACCCGAACCCGAGACTTTTCATCTCCTGTCGGCAGCTTCCTGTGGAGGAGGGGGAGAGGGGAATTAAACCTGGCTCTCCAGATTAGAGTCTGTCACTCTTCACCATGACACTATGTATACTGGGGGGGGAGGGGATGCTGATTTCGTGACAGAGAGCTTTTCTCCCCTGCTTTGATCAAGCGGATTCCACTTTGCCTTGTATCTCTGCCCCTCCACCTTCCAGCTGGAAGAGATCAGGTCGCCGGGATCTCTGTTCAAATGGTGGCTTTGACTCAAAAACTGACACGCCCAACTTCCAGTTTTTCTTGCGGTGATGGCAGACTGGCTCCGGGAGAGCTCCCGTGAAGCCAAGCCAGATTGCCGGGGGGGGGGGGGCAAATCCTCCATAGGGGAGCCCCTATGGACTCCCCACTTGATTCCGGCCAAGCCGCGAGCGGCAGCAAGCGGATTGAGTCAAGGATCACCCTGAAGCCCAAGCCTCAGCAAGACCAACTGTGGCTCCTCCACAGCTGTGGAGCCGTGACTACCGGAGGAGGGAGAAACAGCGGTTTTCAATATTTCATAAGACTCCAAGATTGCACCACCATGAGCACCTTTTAAAATCACTGGTTTCAGAAACAGTTGGATAGCCCTTTTAAAGAGACTCCAAGCAACTAAGATTGGAAGGGTGAAAGGGATTCCCCGCCCCGAAGTGGCTTGGCAAAGAAGGAACTGGATACTTGCAATAATCTTAAAGGGCTCAGAAAGAAGAGGTAGATCTCTGGGACTATCATTTTTTGATAAAGGCACATCATTTCTAAGTTTTATTGACCTTGTGGATTACAGTGTAAAACTACTGGATTAACTTTGATTTGGATTACTATATAAAATTTGTGGATCAATTTTGAGTCTAACTTTGGATCTATATTTTGGCTAAGTGGGACTTCTAAGATACCTAATTGGATTATAATGTGCTTAACCCTTATCTGGGTTATAAATTAGAGATAAAGAAGAAGAAAAGGAAAATATAAAAGGTAACAATTTGGCTGCAACGCACTTTCACTTTCTAAATGACTTCTAAGAAGATACCTAATTGGAATATAATGTGCTTGACCCTTATCTGGGTTACAAATTAGAGATAAAGAAGAAGAAAAGGAAAATATAAAAGGTTAACAATTTGGCTGCAACTCACTTTCACTTTCTAAACGTCATTTCTGCAAAAGAGTGACATTATATTTAGAGCTGTTATGTCTTAGCAGTCCGCTTGTTGTTGTTATTAAAGTACAGTGTGTGAAAACTAATGTAAACCTTGGATAACTGTTGTCTTTTCTTGTTTGGGTTTGGACTGGGCTGTGGGATCTAGTAAATAACCAAGAGATTCTCTTATTTTAGCACAGGAATTACTATAGTATAGTAGGGGTCATTGGTTTTAGAACAGGAGTCAGAATATGGATAACAAAGCCAGACCTACTAACAATCCATCTCCTGGCCAAGGTAGATCACTGACTGCCACCTTGGCACAGATTTCTGCAAAAGATCGACAGGCTTTAATACAAGAGGCTGTAACTGCTGCAGTTAATCCTATACAAGATAAATTAGACATCTTGTCACAACAGATGTCACAGCAGATGACAGACGTACAAAATCAACTCAAAGAAAACAGGCAAGAGATCGATACCGGGTAACTTGGTGGAAACTATTCTTAAGGAAAGAATCAGTAGGCACATTGACGAACAAAAACTATTGAGGCAGACTCAGCAGGGGTTCTGTAAGGGAAGATCTTGTCTCACTAACCTGTT